TTTATATAGGTGGCGATCAAATGAGATTTTAACTACTTAGTGTATAAATACAAAAAAAGTTATGCACACCAGTCAATCCTTTGAGTGTAGTTGACGTCACAAAAATGTCTGTTATTCACAGATTAAGTAAGTATTTTGAATTTAAGAGAGTGTCAGGCCTCCTTACGACTGAAAATTAGGAAGGGGTCTTGCTTAGTGTTTGTGATTTGATAAAAAATGTCCAGTCGATCCCTAAACCACTTTTATAATTCAATTTTTCAAATGTCCCTCCTAAGGACGTAGGCTGTCATGGTTCTCCACAATTTCCTATTTTTTGTTTTTCATTATCGCTATATTGCCACAGCTTCTTGGCAAAGTACATTGGTTTCCCGTTTTCTTCTCCACGAATTGAAATTTAAAATAGTCCTTCTCCTAAATGGGATACCTCCCAAAATTAAACCAGAGCTGGGAATTGAAGAAACAGATTCGAGCATTTCCAAAGAAGATAGATTCGAAACTGAATACAACAGACGAGATTGGGATTTAAACTCAGTTCTCCATTTCCAGACCCCACACTGATAACATCCATTTTCTTTTAATACGTTTAAGAAGTAAAAGCAATGTTCTCGTCTGCCACAATGTATCTCTCGAAATTCCTTGATTTCTATAAAAAATAAAATTTATTCCAGTTTAAATTTTTATAAGATGCTTATTTATGAAATATAAGAGTTAAATGCTAGGTTTTGTTTTTATATAGCCCGTGAAATTACAGGTAAGATTTGCTAAACATTAGACATCAAAATTTGATAAAGTTGGACTTTCGTACCTGTCAAAAATCGGAGTGTCAAATGACATTTTTCCCATTGATACCGTTATTATTTTAACTACTTCACCCCTCTATTATTTATCGTTTTAAAAAACGATGATTATAATTGTACTAAAACATGATGAAAGTGAATTCATTTTCTTTTTGTTCCCGAGAATTTACAACAAAACTATTAATCACTGTTTATTTATTAGATTGTTTATTTACAAGAATAATTTTATATTTACAGCATTCTAAAAACTAATACAATTGTATTACAACTAGTGCAAGCAAATATTTATTATTTACCAATTCATAAAGAAATAAATATAAAAATAAATTTTTATTCATAAATTTATATACATTTACTAAATTATTAAAATATGTGAATCAACTATAAGCAAATCCTTATTATTAACCATTTTATCAAGTTTGAATCGCTTAGCAATTAGCTGATATTTTGCGAACCATTCCAATAAACAATCTAATAAAGAAATGGTGTTTTATGTTTCATATGTTTAGGTTCCATTACAATTCTAATCATCGCTTTTGAAAACAATAAACATTGCCGAAGAGTGAAGGTAGTTAAAATAATAGCAATGTCTGTTGAAAAATCGACCTTTTGACATTTGATGCACATCAATTAAATAACAAGTAAAATTTATTATACAAATTCATCACAACATTAATAGGTATTCATTACATCTTCCTGGAATCTAACCAGACTGCTAATCAGAGAATCCGAACTTTACTGCTAACAACTGAAGGAAATGCAAACTAAGTTAAACAAACAAAAGTTAATCGACGCGGTCCAATTCTATTCTATGAAAATGCTCGGCCACATTTTGCTAGTGTGGCACTGCAGAAACTCGCCAACTTGGGATATGAGACTTTTCCACACCCACCATATTCTCCTTATCTCCTGCCCACTGACTACCACTTTTTCAAGTATCTTGACAATCTTTTAAGGCAAAGGACATTCCGTTGTAAAAGAAGATGTAAAATCAGCTTTCAATGATTTCTTGGCGCCTAAACCTTTAGAATTTTATCATAAAGGCATAAATGACCACGCAATTCGATGGTAACAATCTATAGATCGTTCAGGGTTCTTATTTTGACTGATTTAAACAATGTTTAAATGAATTACTTAAGGAATAATGGTTGATTCTAAAATCGGACATTATTTTCCGAATAAACCAATATCTAAGGCTTTACATATAGATCTATGAAAAGACTGAACCAAAGACAACAAAAATATCATGAACCTTTATAATGACTAAGCAGATTATTTTAACTAAATACCGCCCATAACTTTTTTAATACGGGGAGAGCGGGGAGGGTTTAAGTGTATCATTATGGTTATTACTCATAAATAATTCTTATTTTTTCTGAATCCAGTCACTTAAAATTAGATTAACACTCCTCTAGAACTTAAACCATCAGGGTACTATATTTTCTGTATACACACGCACGCAAACACACACACAGAGAATACTGTCTGTGCTACTATACGGCGTATAAACATTGTTAAGTCAAAAGACATTTGTAAAAGAAGATGCAGAAATTGCATTCAAAGATTTCTTGACGTTCAAACATTTTAGACTTTTATCGTAAAGGCATAAATAACCTTGTAACTCGATGGCAAAAGTGTTCAGAGTTTCTATTTTAACTGTTTAATAGGATATGGAATTAGTAAATACTAAACACTTCATATCCCTCGACGTATAGATAAGCTATAACAAATTAAGTAGCGGAGAAAAGGAAATTGAACATAAAAAAAGCTGCGCCTGAGGTAGTTTTGCCTAACACCGCACATTATTACAAAACCAAAACATCAACCTGAAAACTCTAGTCATGCTCTTAAATAGCCTCGTCAGATCGAGGCTTTCATATGGATGCTATACATGGCGCCAAACCCGTTTAGAAAAATCTAAACTGTCAACTGTATGATCTTTCTAAGATCATCGGTCGAAAAAGCTTTTGTGTGAGTGAAGTCTGAGGGTCTTGGCAAATAAAATCCTTCTTTGAACATTGTGGACTGGTGCTACAGAATCACAAAGATCTGTATCAAATAATTGAAACCACATCACTTGAGGACTACCGACGGCAGCAACAACTAAAATGGATAGCACATGTAACTCGAAGAGGAAGTAATAACATAATCCTGATGTTGACATTCCATACTAATTCAAATAAAAGGTGAGGAAGGAAACTCCCTTCAGTAATGGAAAGAGAGATAACCGCTACAGGACTTGAAAAACCTATTTTCCTGAAAAAGTGTTTTTAAGAGATAGATTATATAAATTTCAACCGAAAGCAGTACTTGCGACTCAAGTCAATGAATGTCAAATGTCTACTCGGAGGGAAACGGCTACTACTACGATTACCATTAAATACATTAATTCGCGAATAAAAGTTGATTCTAAAATAGGATATTATTTTCTGAATAACCAAGGGCTGTTTATAGCTATCTCTAAAATGGCCGAGCCAGAGACAACAATGATATCACTAACCTTTTTAATGCCTAAAGAAGACTATTTTAACAGAATACGGCCCATAACACTTAATAGCGGGAGAGGGAATCAGTTTCACCATTGTGACCATTACTCATCAGTAATTTTTATTGTTTCTGAGACCGATCACTTAAAATTTGGAGACTAACACTCCTCCAACCCTAAAACAATGAGGGTACTTATTTTTTTTTGTCTGAACACGCACACACACACACACACACACACACACACACACACACACACACACACACACACACACACACACACATACATATATATATATATATATATATAGCTAGATAGATATATGCGCATGTCTTTCAAAAACTGCCTTTGTAGTCTGTAGTTTGCTCTTGGAGAAAATCAACAATTCATTTTTTAAATAAAAATTTAACCTATCATTTATTTCTCTCTTTCTTTCTTTCTCGAATGTTATTTGTTTCTTTTTTTTCTTTTGTAACTCTTTCTTTCTTTCTTTCTTTCTTTCTTTCTTTCTCGGCTATACTTTGTTTCTTTTTTTCTTTCTTTTCAGTCGTCGGTTTGTTTGTTTCTTTCGCTTCCATTCTTTCTTTTTTTCTTTTATTCACGTCTGTTCTTTTTTCTTTTCTTTTGTAATGATTCTTTGTTTGTTTTTTGTTTCTTTCCTTCTTTTCTTTCGCGTCTATTCTTTGTTGTTTTTCCTTTCTTTACATTCTTCGATTTGTTTGTTTGTTTCTTTCTTTCGCTTCTGTTCTTTCTTCTTTTTCTTCTTTTATTCATACCAGTTCTTTCTTTCTTTCTTTCTTTCTTTCTTTCTTTCTTTCTTTCTTTTGCGAATTCAGTTTTAATTTCCTTGTTTTAACAATCTTTCTTTATTTTGGAATTATCACCTAACATTCTTTTCAATACTGAATTAACTTACCTTAATACAGATGAAAGGCAAATAGTGAAAAATGTGAGAAGCCTGTGTGTGCTCTACGCGAAAATTTTCTCCCGGACTCCGCAAAAAAAAAAAATTTCACCATTCAAAACCTTTTTATTTTATTTAAATTCTAACACTGAAAGTAGGGAATATATTATTTGTTGCCGGCCATCTTTGCATTTCTTTTTCTTTCCTTTGCACACGCGCATTGTACATAAAAGCGATTTTTCTTGCAGCTTCAAATCAGTGTAATAGATTTAAGGTTATTTATTTTTTAAATTAGTCAAAGAAAGCACCCGAATGGAAGCACCCAGCTAGAAAGCAATGTGGATATCTTACTCTTATCGAATGTAGTATCTGTCCTCCTGTATGGCAGTAAGTGCTGGACAATCTTCTAAAAGATGGAAAGATTTGACGCAAGAGAAATGTGGTTCTACAGGAGAATGTGGAATATACCATGGTCCGAATATTTTTAGAGAAAAAAAAATGAAACTTAACATAAGGAAGAGACAATTGAGATTTCTAGGGCACAGAATGAGGAAAGAAGGTTTAGAAATCTGATACTCACAGGACAGATTGAAGGCACGATGGAAAGAGGAAAACAGCGTATAACATATTTAATGAGCTTGAGTAAATGGATGACGGAACAAGGTTTCGGAGAAATAACAGAAATACAAAATTTATTAAGAGCTACAAGATAAAAGAAGTTGTGGAGAGCCATGATCACCTACGTCCTTAGGGGATACAGCACTTAGAAGAATGATTATATACCAGTGTGTATACACGCTCAAAGCAAGTAGGTTTACGGTCATATCACGTTGAAACATCGGTTCTCATCCGATCACCGAAGTTAAGCAACGTTGAACCAGGTATGTACCGAGATGAGTGACTGCTTTGAAATACCAGGTGGTGCAAACTCGGATGTGCTGGTAGTGCAATGGATAGCGGCACAGAATGAGAAATCGAAGGGCCGAGTTCGAATTCCAATCGGTTTTGTTATATTCACTTACTTGGGAAAGTATGAGTTCACCTTTTCTCAACCCAGCTATGGGTTAATTAGGAAGATTGTATCTCCAAAAATAATTATCTTCAAAAAATGTTTATAATCCAAAAGTATGTTTTAACCTTAAAAAAAGAAGTGATAAGTTGTAAAAAACCTCAAAAAACAAGACAATCAATCAAAGCAACTAGTTCGAAGGAAGCGGTTGAAACTAGGTGTTAAGGCAGGTAGTGTCTTTGACGTTTATCGTTTCCAAATATTTGGATAACATGTCTTATGTAGTCATTCACCTGAAAACACGCACACATATGCAGGCGTTTTTCGAATTATTGCTTTTAAGGCACAAGGTGTGCATTTGCACTGTCCTTGGTCCTACTCAAAATGTCATGCACACAAATTGCTCGATATTGTAAGATCTTAATGGATGTTGCACAGACTGGCTGTAGCCTAAATTTTGACTAATAATGTTATTGATACAAGCAGCAACGCTCTGGTACTGTTTCAGATCCATTGCTGGTTGCTGTTGCTGATGCAAATGCGATCTAAACATGTAAAAATTGTGGCAAACGATGTGAGCCATTGGCTGTCAAAGGTATAGTCGATCGTAACACCATTAAAAGGGTCGTCATCAGTATCGTGCGATGACCATACACGATTACGAATAGGAAGCCAATATCCACTAAAAATAACTTATATTGTTATTAATATATATATATATATATATATATATATATATATATAAAGAGAAACAGACTAGTATAAGGCTCCATTGTAATAGTTTATTTCACCAGAGACCTTACTTCCAAAATGTGAAACGAAAAATGAAATGAAAATTTACGCTTTTGACAGGTAGTATTAAGCTTATATAATTTAACAGAGAGGGTAGCGAGGAGTGGTGTGAGAGACATGGTCGAGTTTAGAGAGGATTTATTTTAATATTTCTTTCTATCATACTTAGTATTGAGGAAGGAGTGACCAGACATTGATCTATTTAATCGGTCAACTTAACGGAAATGATATGTTGAAAGGGAAGGAGGGAAGAGAGAAAAAGAAAAAGGAAAAAGAAAGAAGGGGGAAGTAAAGAGAAAGGAGATGTATTTAGGGTTTACGGAGGAAGAAGAGGGGTGGTATAGTTTTAGCAATTTCGGTAAAAAAAAATACGATTTTAACGTTTGATAGTAATTTAAATGTTTAAAAAATCCACGAAGAAATTAATTTAATGGTTGTTAGCAATTTAAATATTTAACTCTTTTACAAATAATTTAGGGATTTAATATGAGTTAAATACTATATTAAATACTATATTTAAAAACACATTAATAAAAAACACATTGAAAAATATTTAAAATATAAAACTTTACTGATAGTAATCTTTTAATATTGTAAATGACTGTTAAGGTAACATCTTTATCAGTTTGAGTCGAATTCATGAATGTAATTTTTAGATGGGTAATATTTCTTACTTAAAGTTTAGGTTTCAAATTAAAATGGAGTAATATTTGAAGGTAATATTAAAAAAAAATGTTTTTTTCATATATTACCACATATACATTTATGCAAATCACATATACATACGTTCATTTTACATGCAATTACACATAAGCACACATATGTATCGATATACACAGGTACCTGTACAAATTTTCATTTATAAATTTTTTTAGTGGATATATATATATATATATATATATATCACTAAAAAATAACACTTTATATAATTAATATATATATGTAATTATATTACTATAAATGTTATTTTAGTGTTATTTTATATAATATCCACTAAAATAACATTTATAGTAGTATGAGTGCACATATATGTATATATGTATATATATATATATATGTATTCATATATAACTGTTATAGTAATATATATATATATATATATATATATATATATATATATATATATATATATATATATATATATATCGATATAGATCTAAACGCACATCAGATCTAATGACGGTGAATCGTGGAAGTGCATATTTTTCTAAACGAACTCTCGAATATTCAGGCAGGAAATAAATAAATATACACTTTAATAAATAAACGGAGCGTCTACTCAGAAACGAGTATCCAATAAAAATATGCATTAATAAAAATCTGTCGCATTAATATATAAAAATATCCATCCCTTTCTTTAAAATTGCTTTGTTTACATTAGGATACACAGACTGAGTAACTATGTCCATTTGAAGAGTCAGAGAAAAATAAGTGTTTAACAGTACTATTCAACTTTGCTTGGCCATCGACACACTCTGCAGCCGAGAGGTCATATATATATATATATATATATATATATATATATATATATATTGGAGAGAGAGAGAGAGAGAGAGAGAGAGAGAGAGAGAAAGAGAGGGGGCAAAGTAACTCCCTTTTTATTTTTTATTTATAAACTTTTATTGAACAAAAAATATATTGCAATAGTTTAAGATAGCTTAAAATTAATTATGCCTTATGCGTTCGGGATTGGTTAAATCTTAATTTCGAGCTGAGGTGGATTGGACGACTGGATCAATTGAGTGACCATTACTATCACCAGTTCTGACACCACCAGACCGTTTCTTGTCGGGTAAGTGAGTTTCATCCTTTTCAAGGCCTGAGAGTCACTCAAGATAGATGATTACAGCTTAAGAGACAGTTTATGTCGATATGCGGGGAAGATAAGACTAGACTAGAACAGGTTAAGATTGTAGCGATCGAGAAAATATCCGCTTGGGAGTCAGTTCGCGGGAAGAAGCTGATCGAGCATAAACGACATCCAATCACACTCACACAAACATACACACACACATTTTGAGAATTATAGATATAGATAATAATATTGTAATAATTTAAACTATTTATTTTATTAAAGTTTTTATGAAAGATATATATCTAAGAACAGAGAGTAAATAGTAAAATGTTGCTGAGAGATATAGTGGACAGCAAGTAGTGAGAGCCATTGTCGCCAACAATTTTAACTCAAAAGCGGCACTCAGAAGAATTATCTATCAAACAAAAAAAATTTCATCGAAATCGGATGAAAACAGTGGAAACGCATAAACAACATCCGATCGCACACACGCATACATAATTACACACACACACACACACACACACACACATATATATATATATATATATATATATATATATATATAGGGAGAGAGAGAGAGAGAGAGAGAGAGAGAGAGAGAGAGAGAGAGAGGGGTATGGCCTTGGTGATAATCTTGCGATGGCCAGGGAATTGTCTCTCGAGGCCTTAGAGAACTCTTTCCTGTACTTCCTTCTTTCGTTACTAAACTCAGCTAGCTATCAATTTTTTTTCTTTATTGCTCCTCCTCTTCCCAGGACTGCAGTATATTAGACGTAATAGCTGACAGTATAAAAAAGTCACGTTCTCTCCTACGAATATCTTTGTCTTAGGTGACTTTAATGCTCACCACGACAACTCACTTAAATATTCTAAACGTACTGATGTTGCCGGTATTCAGACATTACATTTTTCGATTGCCCAATCTCTTACTCAAATTGTGGACTTCCTGAGACTCGTTTCCCTAGCAAAAACCGAGCAAGCGGCTTCTTTACTTGATTTATTTCTTATTTTTCTCCTCGCTCTTGCCGAGCTTCACAACTCTGCCCTCTTGGTAACACGGACTACTCTGTGGTATCTATTGATATTTCATTCCAATCATCTATTAAACAATAACCCTCTACCTACAAGACCTCTTTCCGTTATCAGCATGTTGAATGGGACTCACTCTGTGATTTTTTCGTGACGCCCCTTATACTGAGATCTATAATCTCCCAATTGAGAATAGCGCCACTGAGGTCTTTTCCATAGTCAAAGCTGGCATGAACGCTTTTATCCCTTCTAGGAAATACCAGGTGAAACCTCAGTCCTCTCCATGGTTCACATCAGTATACACGGCCGCTATAGCATACAGAAACCACTATTTTCGGCTATACGGCGCTTATCCGTAGCTGCTCGCAATAAATGTAAATGTGCCCTCGAAGGAGCTAAGTCCCTTTTTGCCGAGAGAATGAGGCACCGTATAGTATCTAACAACTTCAGCTCTCGTGATTAATGGCGTCACTGTAATAGGGTATTAGATAAATGTAAGGTTTCTATTACTCTCTTCTTCAATCAGTTTGAGGTGTTAACATTTTCTGTTGATAAAGCTGAATGCTTTTCCTGTAACTTTTCCTAAATTTTTCTCTTGACTCATCTGGACTATTCCTGCCTAACTTCCCTCCTAGAACTGTGTCTCTATTGAGTGATAAGCATATAACCCCTTCCATGTTTTCTGCTATTATCTCTAACTTAGATCCCTACAAAGCATGTAAACCCAATGATATCCCTGTAATAGTCATTAAGAAGTGTGTTCCCGAACTGGCTCTTGCTCTTTCTGAACTGTATAATAAATGCCTCGCTGCTTATTGCTTTTCTGCCTATGTTGTTCCAGTTTTTAAGAAATCTGGTGAACATTGCGACCATTCCAACTATCGTCTTATTAGCATTCTACCTCATTTTGGGAAAATTCTAGCTTTTTTTTTTTTTTAGTTTTAATTCCAAGGTAATAGATCAAATTACAATAATCAAAATACTTTAAACCGAATTCAAATAGATTGGAATGAATTTTTCTGTTCATCAGTCAAATCTATGAAATCGTCCATATTGACAAATCTGTCAACACAACATAATACTCTTTATTAAAAATATTTCAAAAATATACTTTTCTGAAACGCTATTTGAAAAAGATTATATTTAATTAATCTGAATTGAAACGAATATTGCTTACTGTCAATTTTAAGAGACTGCAATTTCCAGCACTGTCAGTATTGGATTATATTTAGAAGATCCCTGTTTTTTACATGGTCAACTGTATCATAAATCTTTACATTCAAAGAATATTGAATACAGGAAAATCCTTTTGTAAAAGTCTAATACTTAAAAATATGCTTTAGTTTCATTTCTATGTTATCCTAGATGTTTGTTAATTTTTACGAGATAGTTATATTCCTGGAATATATTATTTAGAAACTATGTTAGAAATCATTTCAATAATTTTGTCCCGGGCAATGTCGGGTACTTCTTCTAGTATAATATAGGTATCACTTGTGCGCTGCTCACATAGAGTAGTGGTAGAAGTCCGTACTACGATCAGTTTATGTTCACAGTTCATTTCCCTGAAAAAAAAAATGGAATGGGTTTTCATAGTAGAGTCTTAAAATAGATATAAAAAATATCTATTCGTATTGAACTTTTGTGAAGTACTTGTATATACGACGAAGCCATCATTAGCATGAGAAATACTTGCTAATAAAGTTGGTTTTGTTAAAAAGCCACATTCATAGGGTAGCGACTTAGGATGCTTAACATCGTTTTTATTATAACTAAATATGTGTATGTGCATTTGCGTGTCTCTTCACATACACAATCTCTTTTCATGTTACAAAAGAAAAGAAAAAAGAAGAAAAAAAATCATTTAAAAATCTGAAAATAAACCTGCCTTTAACACTGAATCTGATTGGTTGTTTTTGTTTAGTCGGAGCTCATCCTTGTTCGTGACGTCACATTATTTCGTGGAAAATCGGTCGGTTCATTTTTCCACGAAGTAGTCAACCAACTGAGAAATAATTATTCTCGACCTACTTCCTCCCTGACATTCACATATGCAACTGTGCACATATTTACCTGCAAAAAGAGAGAGAGAGAGATCAGTGACAGATACAGGATTTCATTAATGCAGAATACGAGGGTCTCATGTTAGAGAAGAACATAGCAAGATATGTTATCTTACATTTATGTAAAAGTCGGGTGGGGGTGGATAATTATTTCTCTAGCTGGTCTTCACGCGTTACAAAACTGAGAGAAAATAGAGGGAGAGATGAAGAGACGAAAGAAGAGAGAAAAACAGAGCAAATAAGAGAAGTCAAGTAGAAGCGAGAGAAGAATAGAGGATAATAAAGATAGAGAAGAAAAATAGAGCGATAGAAAATAAAGAAAAAAAGGAGAATGGAGAAATAAAATAGAACGAGTTACACAGGAGATAACGTTGAGAAAAAATAGGAAAGAGAGAGAGAGAGAGAGAGAGAGAGAGAGAGAGAGAGAGAGGAATAATAAAAACAAAAGAAAAGGAAAAAGAATAACAAAAAAGAAAGAATGAGAAATAAAAAATGAGAATAAAATATAAGAACAAATAAGAAATGAAATGGAAGAATGAAAAAGAGATAATAAAAGATTATGAAATAATAAAAGAATGAGCACGCATGAAAAAGAGAGAATGAAAGAACGTGAAGAAATAAAAAGGGGGAATGATAGGAGAAAAAATAAAAAAAGAATAAAAGCGATTAAAAAATGAGAATAAATAATTGAGAATAAATAATTGAATGGAGGAATGAAAAGAAACGAAAAAGATGAAATAAACAATTGAGAAATAACAAAAAAAAAAAAATGAGAAGGCATAAAACGGGGGAATGAAAGAGGAAGAAGAAATAAAATGAGGAAATTAAAGAAGAAGCAATAAAAAAGAATGAAAGAATAAAAGCCATTAAAAAAATGAGGAAAATAATAAAATGGAAAAATGAAAAAGAGAATGAATGAATGGAAGTCAGGAAAAAAGTAAGAACAAAAAATGAGAACAAAGAAAGAATGAAAACAGATGAAAAAGAAATAATGAAAGAATGTGAATAAATAAAAATGAAAAATGAAAAAAATAATGACGATGAAAAAATGTGAACGCATAAAAAGGAGAAAATGAAAACAATTAAAAAAAAGTTACTAAAGGAATGAGAACCAATAAAAGGAGAAAGAATGAAAGAATAAGAACAAATAAAAAAGAAAATGAGAGAATGAGAAAAATAGAGAGAATATAAGAATGAGTCCGTGTGAAAAAGAAATGAATATAAAAAAGAGAATTAGGAGAAAAACAAATAATGAGAATGAAAGAATGTGAGAATGAAAGAATGTGAGAATGAAAGAATGTGAGAATGAAAGTATGAAACCAATTTAAAAAGAGAGAATGAAATAATGAAAACATTAAAAAGAATAAGAACAAATAAAAAACAGAAATTGAAAGAATGAGAAAAATATTAAGAATATAAGAATGTGTACAAATGAAAAGATAGAATGAAAGAATGAAAATAAAAAAAAAGAGAAGACAAATAATGGAAAAATATATGAGAGAATGAAAATGTAAACAAATAAAAACAGTGAATAAAAGAAGAAAATTAAAAATGTGAATGAAAGGATGAGAACAAAAATAAAAAATAACAGAATGAGAAAAATGAAGCGAATGAAAGATTGAAAACGTATAAAAATGAGGTAATAAAAGATGAAAGACAAAAGTAAAGAGAGAATAGAAGAATGAACACAATTAAAAAAGAGAGAATAAAAGAATGAACACAATTAAAAAGAGAGAATAGAAGAATGACACAATTAAAAAAAAGAGAATAGAATAGAGAAGAAGAATGAACACAATTAAAAAAGGGAATAGAAGAATGAACACAATTAAAAAGAAGAATAGAAGAATGACACAATTAAAAAGAGGGAATAGAAGAATGAACACAATTAAAAAGAGAGAATAGATGAATGAACACAATTAAAAAGAGAGAATAGAAGAATGACAATTAAAAAGTGAGAATAGAAGAATGACACAATTAAAAAGAGAGAATAGAAGAATGACACAATTAAAAAGAGAGAATAGAAGAATGAACACAATTAAAAAGAGAGAATAGAAGAATGACACAATTAAAAAGAGAGAATAGAAGAATGAACACAATTAAAAAGAGGGAATAGAAGAATGAACACAATTAAAAAGAGAGAATAGAAGAATGACACATTTAAAAAGAGGGAATAGAAGAATGAACACAATTAAAAAGAGGGAATAGAAGAATGAACACAATTAAAAAGTGAGAATAGAAGAATGACAATTTAAAAAGGGAAGAAGAAGAACACAATAAAAAGAGCGAATGAAGAATGACACATTTAAAAAAAAGTGAGAATAGAAGAATGACACACAAAAAAAAGAGAATAGAAGAATGACACAATTAAAAAAGAATAGAAGAATGACACATTTAAAAAGAGGGAATAGAAGAATGAACACAATTAAAAAAGAGGGAATAGAAGAATGAACACAATTAAAAAGAGAGAATAGAAGAATGACACAATTAAAAAGAGAGAATAGAAGAATGACACAATTAAAAAGAGAGAATAGAAGAATGAACACAATTAAAAAGAGAGAATAGAAGAATGACAAAATTAAAAAGAGGGAATAGAAGAATGAACACAATTAAAAAGAGAGAATAGAAGAATGAACACAATTAAAAAGAGGGAATAAAAGAATGAACACAATTAAAAAGAGAGAATAGAAGAATGACACAATTAAAAAGAGAGAATAGAAGAATGAACAGAATTAAAAAGAGAGAATAGAAGAATGAACACAATTAAAAAGAGAGAATAGAAGAATGAACACAATTAAAAAGAGGGAATAAAAGAATGAACACAATTAAAAAGAGAGAATAGAAGAATGACACAATTAAAAAAGAGGAATAGAAGAATGAACAGAATTAAAAAGAGAGAATAGAAAGAATGACACAATTAAAAAAAAAAGAAGAATGAACAGAATTAAAAAAGGGAATAAAAGAATGAACACAATTAAAAAAAGAGAATAGAAGAATGACAAAATAAAAAAGAGGGAATAGAAGAATGAACACAATTAAAAGAGAGAATAGAAGAATGACACAATTAAAAAAAGAGAGAATAGAAGAATGAACACAATTAAAAAAAAGAAGAATGACAAAATTAAAAAGAGGGAATAGAAGAATGAACACAATTAAAAAGAGAATAGAAGAATGAACACAATTAAAAAGAGGGAATAAAAGAATGAACACAATTAAAAAAAAGAAGAAGAATGACACAATTAAAAAGAGAGAATAGAAGAATGAACAGAATTAAAAAAGAGAATAGAAGAATGAACACAATTAAAAAAAGAGAATAGAAGAATGAACACAATTAAAAAAGAGGGAATAAAAAGAATGAAACACAATTAAAAAGAGAGAATAGAAGAATGACACAATTAAAAAGAGGGAATAGAAGAATGAACAGAATTAAAAAGAGAGAATAGAAGAATGACACAATTAAAAAGAGAGAGTAGAAGAATGAACAGAATTAAAAAGAGGGAATAAAAGAATGAACACAATTAAAAAGAGGGAATAAAAGAATGAACACAATTAAAAAGAGAGAATAGATGAATGACACAATTAAAAAGAGAGAATAGAAGAATGAACGCAATTAAAAAGAGGGAATAAAAGAATGAAAACAAATAAAAAGAGATAATGAGAGAATAAAAACAAATACTAAGTATGTTATGCGTTGTTTTCCTCTCTTTCTCTTGCATTCAATCTGTCCTGTGATTATTAGATCTTCTAAGCCCTCTTTCCTCATTAGGTACCCCAGAAATTTCAACTGTCTCTTCTTGATGTGCCCTCTAAAACTTCATCTTTCTTCACATGTTTGGTCCACGTTGTATTCAGCGATCTTCTGTAGAACCAGATCTCTCTTGCTTCAAGTCTATTCTTCATCTTTGAGGAGAGACTGTCTAACATTCACTACCAAAAAGGAGGACTGATATCACATAACAGTTCAGTGCACTTTTCTTTGTTTCTAACGAAATTTGTTTCTTAATAATCTGCTCAGCTTAGTTGTCCCTATTTTCTTGGCTACGTTTAGTAAATATGAAAAAAAAAATACTTATGGAGCGCTATCATAAAGTAGTAGTTTTCGATTTGAAAGATTGGTGCAACAAAATATATTAATAAATACAGAGTGCGATGGATAAATTGTCGTATAAAATACGCAAAAATGAAAATAAAACTGACATCTCATTTTAACAGATATATTTACCAAAATTACACAAAAATATCTTGAAATACTCAAGAGTAAATCTATTGAATAAAATCGCCCGCTAGAAGACGTCCGAATTTCCTGCATCTCTTCTGGACGGTCTTTTTGTTTACGTTGGTGAATGCTTCCATAATCCTCGCCTTCAGTTTATCTTTGGTGTTACAAAGAGTTTTATTGGTCTCTAGCACAACTGCGGCCCACACAAAATAATAATAAAGGGGGCTGCAGTCTGGGGAATGTGGTGGCCACATGTGGTCGCAGAAATTGTCTGGCAGCTATCACTAGATTATCCTGCTTGTGTAGCATGGTACAGTGTCCTGTTGCTAAACATAGGGTTTCCAGCAGCCACCCCCTTGACCCAGGACAGTACTACCTCCTCAAGGCACCTGATGCAGGACTCCGTGTTGAGTCTGAGCCCCTATGGGAAGATGAGTGGAGGCATAACGTCGCCATCACTACTGATCATTATAAACACTTTCGTAATCTCCATTAGACTCATCCAACTGTTTCCGACTTATCTGTAGTGTCCCCAAATTGATATCCAAATACTCTAAAATGTTCATATTAGAGCTTCCAGTGAGAATGCCAAGTAGTATAGCATGCTTTTTCTAAATATCTGGCGTAGTGAATTGCGTCATGGTGATCTTTTTCTTAGAGACGGTGCCCAAATTGACGATACCATACTGGGCATTCGACAAAATCAAAAACAAACAACGCGTATTCGCCAAATGAAAAATATAAAATGGCGACAATTTACCCATCGCACCCTGTATTTAGATTTTCCCATATGCATTTACCCTCCAGATAAAATTGTGCTAAGATACATTTACAAAACAAAAAAGCCCAACCTTTGAAAGGGTGCAAGAAGCATTCAGCATTTTTTTTTAGGAGTGGCAGTTAAGACTGCCCCAGTTTATTTTTAATTTTAGCATATCATTCCCATACATTTAGTAAGCTGAACTACAAATTTTTGTTAGTCCAAATCGAAGAATATGGCTATAAGAGTTCTTTGAAAAAAAACTACTAAACCCTGCTTGTCACGGCTGATTAGTTTACAACATGCAGTCGCGACGTGAAGACAGTTTGGAAGCTTGCTATGCAATAAAGTGTTGAGTTGACAGATATGGACATCAAAACTCTCCCTCACCCTGCCTACGGTCCAGACTCTGCTCCCCTGTGAATTTTGGCTGCCCCAAAAGTACACATATAGTTAACATCAGTATGATACAGTTGAAATTTCTAGTATACCTAATGAGAAAAGAGGGCTGGGAAAATCTGATACTCACAGGACATATTGAAGGCAAGAGGAACAGAGGAAAACAACACATAGTGACGTTGAGTAAATGGATATCGGAACAAGGTTTAAGAGAAATAACAAAAAGATAAAAATTATTAAGAGCTACGATAGACAGGAAATTATGGAGAGCCATGATCGTCTCCGTCGTGAAGTAAAGCAGTGCGTAGAGATTGAGAATGTTAGGAATATAATATCACTTTTACTTTCTCATATACCCTCAGGGGCGGTCGTTTTGAAGACATTGAAATGTTGAAGGAGACTGTGACAAGGGTCCTGGCAACTTTCACTTTGGATGACTTCCATAGGGCCTTTACGACGTGGCTGGAACGCTAGAACAGGTGCATTGAAATCAGAGGATCCCACTTTGAGGGAAATTATTCTGGAATTCACCTCGCACGTCAGAACTATCAGAACTGCTCGGTAAGCTTGATTTATTTGGGAAGGATGTGTCTTTTCACCGGATTTATTCAAACTTTACAAGTATATATACTTTTCTTGGGACACTGTTTCATGGTTCTTGGATCATTATTACTGCGGAACTGAG